TCATAAATTTTATCAAAAATGTGTAAAAATACATATTGCGTATTTAATTGTGCTAATAATAGCAAAAATAGTGAGTGTAGTTTTTATAGTTTCCGAAAGATTACATATAAATTAGAGAAAAGAAAAAGATGGATTCATGCTATTAATATGAAAAAGTAAATATCACATAATTTCATTTTTATGCAATTGAAATAGGAAACATTAAATAATTTACCTTAAATCATATTTCATGAGGCTTCAAGCTAACTGCAGAGTGTCTGCTGACTTTAGCTTTTATATCATAACTTTTACTATTATTGTTTTTAATTATATACTCTTTCACGTGAAAAACTTGATTTTCCAGTTCTAGATTTTTCTCTTTCTTTTCCGTTTGTGGTTGAAAAGATATATTATGATGAATTTTGAGAAACCCAGTCTTTAATACTACATTTATTTTGTACATAAACTGAAAAAATATAATTAAAGAACTAATTATTAATAATTGTCAATTTCGCATGTATTTAACAATGTCAAACATTATGTTATATGTTTAACCTGAAAACTGGTAGGTTTAAAACTGTCAGATGAAGGCGGTAGGTGTCGCGTCAGTCACGCACGAAGCGAATAACTACTCTATTTATAATGTTTTGGAACTGTAAAATATTTTTCTTCTAGTCTTTTTGACATGCTCTATACATCTTTCTCAAATATCTGCTGTAATATTATTATTATATTCAGTCTTAATTAAATGTACAACAGTCGAAAATGATTTAGGAGATTTCCTCACATTATTTTTTAATCGTAACCACAACAATTCTTTTGGATTCAATAGTAGTAGACAAAATAGTAAGGAGATAATCTTAATACTTTTTGGCCATAATTCACATTTACAAGTTCTTCCCTTCACTGATAAAAGGCCTTAGACTCTCCAAATAATTCGAATCTCCACTTTATTACACGGGTGGATTTCATAATTGCCTGCCATTTATTCATTGTTTTTGACATAAAACCATTAGATTTTTAAAACCCCCAAAAAGTAGTTTTATGACACTCGGGGATTATTTAAATTTAGTTTTTAAAGGTTTATATAAACTTTAAAAGTTTATTTAAAGTTGGTAAGTTATTCACTGAATACATATGATATATTGTTTCCTATATAGCTGATAAATGAAAATCCGATAATACTCGATGGTCACCAGAATCCTTCCCTTTTTTTTAAACAGTGGATCGTGGCACTTGTGTCAAAAAAACCGTCTTTTTAATCTCTTCTGATTTAACCATCGTCGAAAGAAGACCTAAGAAAAAATATGTAATTTTACTCATTTCTATATCACTCGTATTTATAGTTATTACACTGGCTTCTGTTGTAAATGAACGACAAAAGAAAAATGAAGTTCTTTTCAAATAAACTTTCTTTTCACAGAAGCCCATTTAGTGATAATTTATCATTATACTTTTACCTGAATAAAATTCCAAGAAGTTTTCTAATCTCTTATAAACACTGGCTTTACTTACGCAGAAATTTGTAATTTTAGAATTCCAACTACAAATGCAATTAACTAATTAAATTTAAATAGGTACACAAAATTATGCTTAAAATTTTATTTACCAATCTTTAACAACTCAAAATTGAAATACTTACCTGGGTACATCTACTTTGTATCATTTAGTAAAGTACCTTTAAACTTTGGATAGAATTTAAAATGAACCTAATGTAACGAAAGACTAAGGGCGACTATTCGTTACAGCATTAAGTTCTATGAAATGGAACAAGGTGGATCTTAACATTTGTCTAGAACAGTTCATTTTCTAAATTATTTCATTTTTATTATTATTATATTCTAAAAATAATTATGAATAATGGGAGGGTATAAATTAATTTTATATAATTTTATTTGATTTTATTTATTTTTATTTAATTATATACATAATTTTATTATTATTATTTTACTATAATTTAATTTTATATAATTAACATCATTTTTTTTTGCCTTTATCCTTATGCAGGGTCGGCTTTCCTAATTATATTTCTCGATAAGTGTCTATCAATGGCCATATCAATATTAATACCCTTTACCGACATGTCCTGCCTAAGTATCTACCTCAGGTCTTTTTTGGACTTCCTCTCCTACTACTTACAGGAACCTGCAGATCAGCAATTCTTCGTATTGGGTGATACGTTTCGTCATATTTATCGTCTCCTCGTTGAATATGACCAAACCATCCTGACCTATGCTCTCTCATCTTGTCAACAATTGGTGTCACCCCTAGTAGTAATGCGAAAAAATAAGTAATCGTTACAAAGTAACAGTTACTTTTCGAATATCCAAGTAACAATGATTAAATTTAAAAAAGACTAGTTACTTCATGGTTTAGTTACATTGTTCTGTAGTGTGTGTGTCCTGAGTCAGTCTGTAACTAAACGGTCAGCGGAACGAAACTATAACCAATGTCACTAAAATAACTTTACGTCGTACCACGTCATAGTGCACAGTGCACTTCTCCTGCTTCTACAGATGAGTTCGTTGATATTCATACGTCGGAGGTGCGATTTTGTTTAGATACTTGGCCGTTAATGTTGTGAAAGTTATTTTATAGTAATTAGTACAATAATTGTCTAATTATGGATTTATTAACTAAAAAAAAAGCGCTATCTGGATACACTTCTAATGATAAGGAGAAATGCAATGTATCACTACAAATTTCAATATCGTGTCAACAAAAATTAGCGATTTAATATTGAATTCAACGTATTATAGTTAGAAAGAGTATTTAAATTATGTAATGGCTAAATTATGTATGTAGCTTCCACAGTTGCTGTTTTGCATAATCCAGTAAGTTTACCGATGGAAGAAGAATGGTTACTATTAGAGGAACTCTGTAAAATATTAAAACCATTTGAGGTTGTCACTGTAGAAATGAGTTTCGAAAAAAAAAAATAACTCTGTCCAAAGTAATTCTTATTTTTAAGGGAGTAATGTCATCTTTAGAGTTCAAATTACGAGTCAGTTAGAAGAAGAGTTAATACATTTATTGCTAGCCTCAATAACTACACATTATGGGAAACCCGAAAATAATATAATAATGGGAAAATTCTCTTTTCTGGATCTAAGATTTAAAACTAAGGGATTCAATAAGGATGACTGTTTAAAATAGGTTAAAGGGAGGCTTCAAGAAGAATTAGTTGGAATAATTAAAAAAAGTCAACAAGACGATACGGTCCCAGGGCCTTTCAATGATTACACATCAGTTACCGTTGCGGAGACGTCAAATACAGAAAGTGACGACATCATTTGACAAGATTTTGACACTTGGTCAAATCTTCAAACACTATAACAAGTCCAACGGCAGTGGCTATGACTGAACTAAAAATGTTTTCAGAATAGGCAAATTTAGAAAGAAAACAAAATTACAATTTAACAGTTACAAATTAACCAGCCCTAACACAAAAAGTAACAAAAGTTCACATCATTAAACCCTAAATTTTCCCTAATATACTTATTCCTAATTTTATTATTTATATTTATCCATAATTATAATTTAATTTTATTTTATTTTACGCCAATAAACTTATTTTAAACTTAAATTGTGGCTCATTCCAAATAAAAATAGTAATTTATTTAATTTTATTTATTTTGATTTACTTTTTTATAATTGTTTACAATTTTAGTTAATATATTTTCATTTATGGTATTTAAATTTATTTAATAACTGAATATAAGTCCACCTGACAACTACATAATATAATCGACGAATGTCAAAATATCAACAACTATCATAGACTACTTCAAAGAGTAAAAACGTCTCAATTAGTTTTTTTATGTGAAGTCAAAAATAAAATCTTGTATGTGCCACTGGTGTTACCGGATGATTACGCCCCCATTGAGTAACATCCATCAATCGGGCCAGAGGTTCTCTGGCTGGATTATATTGCTCTTCGGGCGTTATCATCTTAATAACACCCTTGGTGCATAAATAACTATTATTTTTCACTTGCATAGTATTTGTTTAATTTAGCTTGGATACGGTTACTATAAACAAGCTTGTTATATCCTAGGGCATAATAAGCGGGTGTTATGGCCTATAACGTCCTGTTGTATAAGAAAAAAAAGCAAATGTTATTGAACGAAGTTTTTTTATTTTAAACAATTTCGAAAGGAGTAAATATTATAGAACTAACATTTTTATAAATAGTGAAAGTAAATGTTTGTAATAACTGAATATAAATAAATGACATAAATGCATAACTGAACTGACAAAATCTTGTATATACCACTGGTATTACCGGATGATTACGCCCATCGAGCAAAATCCCTCCCTCGGGCCAGATGCCCTCTGGCTGGATTATATTGCTCTCGGGACGTAATCATCTTAATAACATACTCGGTACATAAATGACTATAACAAACTGCACCCGACTGTTTGTTTATTTACACTAAAATTATTATTACTTGGTTTTATAGTAACTAATAGTCGTAGTTGTCAAAATTTGTTCAACGTATCCAAAAAAATAATTACTAAATTTACTACACACTTGAGATTGGGTTAAAAAAATAGAGTATTTTTTTATTTTTGTAGTCACAAATATTTTGTCAAGTAGTAGATTGTCCTCTCTTGTATACGGCAACAATGTGCTCAAATGACAAGGTCAAAAGTGACCATAAATACCATGATACTATGAACTAAAGATAAACCCACGCGCACGCGATCAGTCTATCTCTTTTGCACGTGTGACGTCACGTGGCGACAAATATCACCAGAAATGTTCTGTTTTGCATGGAGTTTTGTCAGATTTAGTATTGTTTTATCGTTTATCTAACGTTGACAAATAAATGTGTGCACTTTTGATAAAATACATTTCAGAATATTACATTAAAGATAAACTGTTATCACCAAGTGACGTTATGCTCATCGACGTACAAAATTCGATTGAGAAGTGGTTTTATCTTGGAAGTCATAGTATCATGCATATATCCGGTATTTGTTTATCTTCATTTTTTAATTGTTGTATTGTTTTGTAGATGGTGACGACTCGGCAAAAAGTCTATCTGACGAGGCTATATCTAAGTACGTCGATGAATTCCTAACTCGCATAGATCCGGACAACGACGGATACATCAGTTATGTAGAATATCGAAAGTATGTAGACAGTGTTAAAATACATTAATGGACAATGTTAACCTTTTGATGTTTTCTGAAATTTCTTACAATTTAACTTACTTAATTCGACATATTTAAATAGTCGCCATAACAACCATTTACTATAGTATTTTTCATACTAAAATCATGTTACGTGATTCAAGATTTACGACGTCAAAAACCTACAGTGTTGCCAAAACATCAGAATAGTAAATAAGTGAGGAATTTTCAAAATGTCAACTATTTCATAATACACTAGTCAATTGGATTTTTAAAGTAAAGAAAATAACCGTATTTTCAAAATTTATTTTTTCACTTTACAATAATGTGGAAAATGAGATAGGTTGAATCCACAATATTATAAAATATCACATAAAAGTGTATATTTTTAATACACTTTGAAACTCAAACAGTAAGGCATTAAATTAATCAATAACTTTTATTATGTAATATTACATTTAAATTAGGGAGAAAGAATTCAGTGTGTCATTAAAAGGGCTGTTAAGGCCAGTGTAATAAAAAGGAAATAAAAAGTGGTATATAAAAGAAAGGACAGAATGAACGGACAGAATTGAGAGAATGTAAAATGGAGAGTAATCTTAACCGATATATAAAATTTCAGGAATGGTTTGGATAATATTCCGAAAAACCTAATCGATTTGCTTTTTGTCCCTCCGAAACAAACTGAAAAGTGCACCAAAAACTAATAGTCGGTCTTGAGAAATAAAAAGTTATCTCAACTTTAAAAAATAAATAGAAATATTCAAACTTATTCTTTAATATTTGCATTATCCAGAAACATCCACAAGGAAAGAAAAATCCACACATAATCTACAAATATACCTGCATTAATGTAAAAAATACAATTTTTTTTAATCAAATAAGATGCAGGCTATCCAACAATGTATATAGAATGTCATAAACATTTAAATCATACATTAACACAACACAAAGACAAACAACTATTGAAAATCGACCAAGCTACATATTGGGTGGCATCAGGAGAGAGAATGGTTCTATATATATATATATATATATATATATATATATATATATATATATATATATATATATATATATATATATATATATATATTAAGAAGTTCCATAAGCTTTGGTGAATCTTTTTCACAAAATACATAACAAAAATCAACGAACTAAATTTTGAATTATACTCGTATCAGCGGCGCACGTTTTTCAATAATCTATTTAATTAAAATTAATTTTTGAAGTACTAAACTTACACAATTGTTTTATAAAATTTATATTATTAATAATAAAAAAAATGTGTTTGGTTATTTAATCAATATAATTCTAAACTTCTCAATGTAATCACGATTACTTCGTGTTACTTTCTTGTTATAATACCTTGTTGACGCCTATGAAAGATGAGCAGCTCCGTATTTTTAGCTCTGTTAGAGAAATTTCAACTCAAGGTTGATGTTATGAAAATTTTAAATACAACTGACGTTAGTTTGTATAAATCGTGACGTAGCATTGTTTTTGTGTTAAAAATTCTATACTAAACTGTACAATGCAAAACAATTATTTAGTTTTAAGATATTAAATTAAAATGTCATTAAACTTTTAAAAATGATATATTTCTCGTTGCACCGATTAAAATTAATATTTTTTTTATTATTTTTTTATTTATTAAAGGAACAATGTACCTAATCCTTTGATTAACTAACAATTTATATTTAACTTGACTGGGTCTTGATTATCTAGCAGTTTTAACACTTCCCTGTTTGTATGGTTATAGAGTCGGTTTTGTGACTCTGGGGAATATTCTCTATTACTTGTTTAATTACCACTATACGAAGTTCCTGATGTTAGTCTTTGTTGCGGATATATTACGGAGCGTTGACTATATTCCTTAATATTCGGTTTTAGTCTCTTTGAAGGCAAGCATAGTTACTCTCCTCACTATCCCTTGTTTCGAGTTAAGAAAATAACATTGGACTTATGGAGATCTGTGTTGCCAAAACTCTCAGGCAAGTGTTGCTCTTAGATTGTCGATATATGATTCATTCTAATCAGAGCCGTATTCAGTACTGTGTAGTTGTAGTTAATTAATTTCACTAATTAAAGGATATGTATAGTTGAATACAAAATAATTCATTATAAATACTTGTTTCTTTAATTGACAGATATAGGTATGTAATTATTATAGGACTAATAAAAATAGTTTAATTTTACTATTATTTAACATTACATTTTTATAAACGCTTTAGATAAGATAAAGAATAAAAAAGAACAAGTGCAGATTTAATTTTATTTTGATGTAAGTAATAACAACAATTACATGCATAAAAATTTTTCCTTGTATACAAGGTGAATCACCACTAACGGAACGAAAAATTACAGCGAAAGAGTAAAAAAATATAAAAAATTTTAAATTATTAGTTTGTAAGTTGATAAAAGCTACATTTCAAAATTATTTTGAAATATACAGGGTGTCCCAATAATTTTCGGCGTTTCTTCTTCCTGGTTATAAGGAATCATGTTTGTTCATTGGCGGATTGATACCTTTATGGAAGGTTGTCACTCCATCTTTTTGCGCGGTCGGCCGATTCTACCGATTAATGATTTATCTCTTGCTATTTTGACCACACGTCTCTCCCCAATTCTTTTTTCTATTGTTTCCATTTATTTTACACTATGCGTTATATATATATATATATAATATATATATATATTATATATATATATATATATATATATCAAATTATTCTCGACCGTACTGTGTTAAATATTATTTGTAGTCTCAGCAATTGGTCTGTATGAAATGAAACTCTATTTGTTATTTCTCAATATTTCGTCACGATTTTGTGACTTCTTCAGGAGAAAACTGTAAATTTATTATAATTATTATATGTAAACAAAATGAATATTTCAATACTTACAACTTATTTAAAAACACAAACCTACAAAACTTATTTATAACACTCACTTTCACAATAGAGCTTTAATAAATAATCCACAACCAGTTTTATACAAAAAAATACCTTACATAAAAAATTTAACAGACGAACCACTTTTCAAAACATTTCCGAACATTAAATTAATTAAATACAATCCACTTCTAAATTCAAGGTTGTTCTCAAAAATAAAAGTTAAAACTCCAAATTCAGTAATGAGTAATATAATTTATAGAATAAATTGCAGTCAATGTCAAAGTTGTTATATTGGACAAAGTCAACAGTGGCTTAAACAACGTGTCACTCAACACAAAAGTGACTGTAACTTACGAAAAAACTCTTGTGCCTTAGTGAACCACCCCTTAAAGACAGGACATAACTTTGACTTTAATAATGTAAAAATCTTGGAACAAATTGATAATTATAAAAATCGACTTTTCCTTGAAATGGTACACATTAATAAAACTCCAGAATCTATCAATTATAAGACAGACACCAACCATTTAAGTAATATCTACTGTAATATACTAAACAATATATGGTATGATAGATCTTAATATCAGTGTCTAACAACATCAGACCAATAACTGACTACGTACCATCAATTACATTTTATAGATCAATTTACCATGTTCCTGATGCTTTCTCAATATTCTACTTTTGCACCTTATTATATGGATAATACTGTCACAATATGTAATTGTTTACTAAAACTTATTCGCTAAAAATTGTACAATGGAAATTCACTCTATAAAATATTGCGGTTACCATAACTCCCAAATAAATTAAAATCAAAACAATGTCATTTATTTAAATTGGATATGTTATCAAAATTTAAATTTTTAATCTTAAGTTGTAAGTATTGAAATATTCATTTTGTTTACATATAATAATTATAATAAATTTACAGTTTTCTCCTGAAGAAGTCACAAAATCGTGACGAAATATTGAGAAATAACAAATAGAGTTTCATTTCATATACAGACCAATTGCTGAGACTACAAATATATATATATATATATATATATATATATATATATATATATATATATATATATATATATATATATATATATATATATATATATATATATAGCACTGTCACTGCCATCCGTTACATTTATTACCACAGGATCAATATCGTCCATCAACCGGTCAATAACCCAAAATTTTTTCTCTTCCTTAATAGCAAGTTTACAATAGTTTTTCCAGTTTTCCACTCATAGCGGCGGTCTTAAACTCGGTGTCGTCTGAGGCAATATGTCTTTTTATGTATTTTTCTTTGTATGTGTTTACAACTTCCATGAGCTCTGATTTTAAATAATATTCTTCAAAAAAGATATCTTTCTCTAGCAACCGTGTCTTAATTTGATCTTTATTGAAGGCTTGTGTCGGAATCACTTGTTCTCTCCTCGAATGGTACGAAGCGTTGTCCATCACAACAGTTTTCTCTGGAAGTTTAGGAAGCAGCTTGTCCTTAAACAATTGTTCAAATATAGGACCATCCATCTCATCATGATAGTCCGCTGAGTTTTTTCATCTATAAAACCAGCACCTTCTACAAAGCCGAATTCGCTAAACGCATGCACTATAACAAATCGGGGGCCTCGTTGTGTCGGCTGTTTTAGGCTTGTTGACAACCCCTTAACAAACGCATCCCTGGTTGAAGTCACTGAGAGGTCCTTCTGTTCTTTGGAAACACTATGTCGAACATTCACTTAAGTTTCGTCCAAATAAACGACGGTAAATCCTTGAGAACGAAATTTTTTTATCTCACGCATATACTGATGCCATTTTAGAATATCGGGCCGTTCAATCATGCTTGACTTTACTCTTCGTTTGAAAAAAAAATAAAGTTCATTTCGTGGAGTATTCTCCACATTGTTGTACGTGACATGTTTGCTTAATCTTTTTAACCTAGTCTTTTTTAACCAGTGCAAAAACTATTTTTAATCTGGGCGGTAAATTTTTAAAGAAAAAACTATGCACGATGGCACGTAGCTGCGTAAGAACTACTGCATCGTAAGTGAACTTTCTGCTGTTTACTTTACTTTTGGTACGTTTTCTATGGGCCTTAGTCCTTCTTCCGCAGCTTCTTTGCGTATTT